CATCTCATCGGCATTTTTATATTGATTTTATTTGTTGATAATTGAGGTCCAACCACGTCTCATATTTTGATGCTGTGTGTTTCTGAGGAAGTTAGGTATATCAGATTCTTCTCTTTCCGGTGAACTTTTGGTCTGCTTGGTTATTTCCCAGTAAGTTAATGCAGGAGGTGCCTTGAAGACTGGAGGCTGAAGAGAATAATGCATTCCTTTTTATTTGTTGACAGTCTCATATCTTTAGGTATAAACCTGCTACCATTTGAATGCACAGTACCTCCTGTCTTATACAGACACAGCTATAAAGAATAACTTTGGGACTTGGTTTAAAAAAAAAAAAAAAAGAAAAAAAAAAAGATAAACTTGAAGCCGTATATGACCCTTACTGGAAATGTAAACTACCTGGAGTAGGTGTCCTGACAGTGGCTAAACAGTTCCACTGAGAATGTGTTTAAAAATGACAGTAACTGATAGAGATCCCAGTTCCGTTCATGCTGGATACAGTAGGCTGTTCGTAGGCCGATGTCACGAAGCTTTCCGTTCTTAGCTGCACATGCCAGGTTGCTTTACTGATAGCCAGACAATGTCTTACTGAGTAGAATGAAGTACAAGATGAAGATTAACTTCAGTGTTAAATCTGAGCCTAGTATGCTTTGTAAAAAGCTGCGTAGACCCCCTGTCACAGCTCTTACAGTTCTGTAAGCTATTGTGCCATGGAGGTCACTTACCCTACCAAGTACATCCCTGTAAAATTCTTTATGAACTACTGTGTATAAGCAGTACTTGGAATCAATGCAAGTAGCACAGGCCTAGGAGGCTGCAGTTGCAGTTTTTTTACAATCTTCTTTAATTTGAAGTAAATTATTTCCCTGAATTTGTACTATAGTTACCAGGATTTCTGTTCGGTGGCATAATCCAGTATCTTTCACTAGCCTGTTTTTTAATGTACACATGAACATGTATATAGGCCTATATGTATAGATATCGTAAATTAAATTCTAAGCTTATAGAGATGACATAGGTGGCTTGGTAAGTAAAACTTGTGTGTTCGATCTTGATAGTATGAATTTCTGCAGTGTCACAGTTTAACTGCTCGGAGGCCTTAGATTCAGGATGGTGTTGGTGGGTGGTAACACCCTTTTTCTTAGCACTACTGCAGCCTTAGGAGTCCTTTACGCAGTTTCTAGTAAAGAAAAAACCCACCAACCAAAACTCAAGTAAGTATTCCAAATCCGGTTGCACTTTTTTTTTGTCCTGCTCTGCCACAAGTAATCTTCAAACAGCTTGGAACGGGGACACCTTCAGCATGTGCCTGTTATGTGGCAAGTCAGGTAACATTCCTGTTTATTTCCTGTTTCTGTAAAACAAGTCTGTCTGTCTGGAGTTTGGGGTCTTATGCATGATCAAGTGGTGACAGCTAACTCTCTGGTGTGGTTCCAAAATAAGATAAACCTTGTGTCAGAAACTATGGCTGTTCTCCTGAGATCACTGCTCTTGGCTGTAGGCTTGCTGCTCTGTGTGTGAATGTGAGCTGCTTTTTTTTGTTGTTTTGTTTGTTTTTTGCTTTTTTTTTTCCCTGGAGTGCTTCAAAAATCAAGGTCTAGTATACAGAAGGATTTCTCAGTTTGGTGTTTTGGGTTTTTTGTTTTGTTTTTTTCAGCTGCCTTTTCTGACTTGAACTAGGCATGATGTAAATACTGCTGTAGTAAATATGCTTGAGAGTTGGGTTTTTTTTTTCTGTGATTAGTAGAAGTTCAAGGCTTATTAAAATGAGTATTGATGTGTTGTACTGAGTCTTGGAAGACTTAAAGTAAAACTGCTTGATTTCACTAAGATTTACAAGCATCTTTTCTGTTGTTTGAGTTTAATGCTGACATTTTGGTGAGGAATCTTTATCTGATTCAGAGTTCTGCAACCAAGAACAGGGAGCTGTACTTAAGAGTTGTTTTAAAATGTGTTTACATTTAAAATATTGGGAGATTTATTATTAAGGGCATCATTCAGGTATTCTCAGAACTTGTAGCCTTATGTATTAGCATTGTAGTTAAAAATAACTGAAATGTATCCACTTGTCCATGCACGTGGTTGTGTGACCAAAATTGTCTTCATGTCTTAATGGGGCTGGTGAATTGTGGTGTGTGAGGCTAGTTAGCTTTATTAGAATATTTCTATTACAACTTTAAGACAGTTACTGAAATACAGTCTGTGAAACTGAAGAAATGAATTTAAAGAATAACTCTAGGGAGTGTGAACCAGCGTAGGTCTTGCGCTTTGTGCTTTTCTCAGTCGTTAGACTGACACGATGCTTTTGAGAGATGTTTGTCCTGGCATCAGTGACCCAAGAGCACAGAAAGAGGTGGGATTATGTGTGCGTGGCTTCTGAAAGTGAGTTGGGCAGTTAGTTAAATCGAGTGGAGACGGTTCCCGCTGATAAGCACACAAGCTTCAGGCAAGACTTTCAAATTCTCTTTCAAAACAAATGTTACAGCCTTGCTTGTTCCCCACCCCTTCTGCTGGATTCGGCAGGCAGCCATGTATGGGTGAAGGCTACGTTAGTGAAGATTTTTACACTGAAATTGGGAGGATGATGAAGATGCTGTGTGGTTTCCAAGGTGGATGAGAAATTCAGAACTACCCTGTGCAACTACTGACAGTGTTTTGTTTTAAAATCAGCTGTTGATATTGTGACACTGTCCATGTTACAATATGCCTTTGGCCTTGAAAATGACATGCTTATGCAAAACTTCTTTACAGATATGATGCTACTTTCAAATAAATATACTATGTGTAAGATACAGGTCACTATATACTTGTCACAGAAGCATATGGTCACTTAAATACGAGCAACTGGTAATTCATTAATGGATATTGACGATACATTCCTAGTATTTTGACTCATGTAGAGTCAGGTGGTCTATACCTTCAAGGTATATACAGCTGATCTTAGTAACATTAACATCTGCCTCATTTCTTATGAGGCAAAAAGCACATAAATGCTTCCATCCTCAACTAGGTACCACACAAGACCAAAAAATAGATGTAAATTAAGTGTTTTAAATTAGCTGTTTCCTGGCTTTATTCTGTGTTGGTAGCACAATACTAAATGCAGTGGCAGAACTGTAATATTGTGGGATTTCTAAGCGTAAAGCACACATACTTATCAGTTTAAGCTAAAAAATAATAGCATTGGTTACTGTACAAGCGACAGTTTTTGCATTCATAGGAAGCTTTGTTTACTGTCTGTAATACGATGTTTATCTTTGGCCCTGTTCCTCCCATACCTTTTACCCTGTTGACTGTTTTAGTGTCATAGAAATTAAAGAATTTGACAAGTTGTTTTCCTTGTCTGCTTCCAAAGTACCACTCGAGCATCCCAGAGGCACGGCTGCGCGCTGCAGTCCAGCCCGTGCACCGTGTGCTTAATGGGATGACGAGGGGAGCGGCCGCTGCAGAGCGACGCCTTCTCCGGCACGCCACGCCACGTGCGAAGGGGGCTGTGGTCCTCCTCTGTCCCACTGGCTCCGTCCTGCTCGCCCGTACAGCTCTGTGGCAGCTGATGCTCCTGCTTCGGGTGGTGTGCCCGCTGCTGTGTCGTAAAGGCAAGAGGGCCCTTTTCTTAGGGAATTTACAATCTAAATGAGAAAGGAGTAAGGTAGAAAAAAAGAACGCTTGGCTTCTTTATGCATGTGACTTTCCTTGAATTTTGGAAGAATGTTCCAGGTTATTTTCCTTTCTCTTTTCCTCCTCATCCAGAAGCGTGATGGGCTGAGGCGGTGCACGTACAGTAGCTGAGCCTTATGCTTAATGGATTTAAGCAGCATCTACAGTTGTGAAATACCAAATACAGGAAGACAGCAAAATCCTGTTGTTTTACACACACTCTGATTTTTAAAATAGCAATTTTTAAAAATCTGGGTAAAGTCATTCAAGCAGAGGCAGTACACTAATGCCATGTTAATAACCTCTTTACAGAGAAATATGCTTAGTTTTGTTTAAAAAAGTGGTGATGTGAACTGTGAACCTTTAAATGCTGTAGGAAGTAAGGTCCCTTCCCACCCCCCCCCAGCGTTAGTATTTTGGTTGTTTTAGTGCTGATTTGAGACAATACTGCATACACTAACTTCCCTCCCTAAGCCGTAGATTTCAGGAGCTGAAGTCTTGAGCTCCTGGATATTGAATTTACTGTTGGTAGACTGGCAGGTTATTTCAGTCATGTTAACAGCATCTGAACTTTACAAAAGTGCTGCTTTTGAATTCATCTCGTCAGGGAGAGCAATGTAAGCCAAGAGCCATCACCCGCAGGGTCCTGACGTGGATCCCCACACCCCCTCGAGTCCAAGGGAAGTCTGCAGGTGGTGAGAACCACTGCCACCTTGTTCTCCTTTGCCCGGTGCCCTTACCCCAGGCAAACCGGCTTTGACGTGGTCGTAAGAAGTTGTGATGCTCCATCTCTGCTCAAGGTGTGAGGTCAGCCCGTGGTTTGTCTGTCTGCCACAAGTAGTTGTAGGTGCTGAATCGGGTCAGTTCTGATTGGGATGGCAGACTCTCAGGGTTTCCAGGTGATAGCTGCGCGTGTCCTTGAACTGTAGCTTTTGCTTTCAGCTCCGCTTTGTTGGGGCTAAGAAGTCGCCCGGGATTTTCTGGTCGTATGTTTCTGTGCAGGCTGTAAGGGATCTCTTACAAGTTTCATTGCAACAGCTAAAGCCTAACAATACCAGTCAGAATCTTGGGAAAGAGAACACATCTGGTGGGGAATTAACATGAAATGGGACTTGCAGAATCCTCATCGTGCCCAACTGTGTTGGGGAGGGCTGGGGTGGGGAATGACATGGGGCTTACCTGTGCAGACAGTCCAGTCTGGTTTCCATTCTTTTTCTAGTCAATCTTTAAAATTCCATATTGCTAAAAATATATTTAAAATCCTTAAAGTCATGAAATTCAGGGGCTGTTGAAACTTTTTCTAAATCTGACCTTA